TATTGACTTCATATATATATATATATATATATAAAGTTCAAACAATCACTAAACGCCTATTTATGTGTGTGATATTATTGGATGCTCAAGCAACGAATATTATTTTGTTTTAAGGAGTAATAGCTCTATTTGATGATATAACATCATGTGCATCCGTACCAAAAGCTGTGGTGAAATAAACCCTAAATAAGTAGCAATGAACCACATATTTTTCTTCTGGTACGATCAAATAACATTGAGAAAAAAAAAAACGCACATGATGTGTTGGTGAGTCAGTCTATACGTATCATCATATAAATGTATATTGCTTCTGAAAACAAAAGGAAACAATTAAAACCCCCAAAAAAAAAAAAGAAAAAAGAAAAAGAAAAAGGGTCAACCTCAAGAGATAAGTATCCATATAGCTCTCGATTGGTATATACTTTCTCGTCCTTTATCTATGCTCAATTGCCCATGCAGACCAAATGAAAGTCCACTATTCTCTTCATCTTTTTGCCCTACCATTTTTGAATTTAGCGACCTCTTCTTTTTATCAAAATCCAAAGTAGAGGTTAAAAGTTGAAAAAAAAAAAAAAAAATCCCATGTTTCCTGCAATCTTTATCTTGAAAGTTTTGTTAATTAAATCACAAAAGCATTTAGTATAACAACTAAAAAGTTACAATGTAGGCCCTCTCACCAAACTCATACGGCTTGTTGTCTTGAAAATATTTTTTCCTCTAAACTTTTGTGTTGTGGGAAGCACACAATTCTTGAATTTTGTGAATCTCACTGCGACGACTACTAGAGTTGTGAAGTCTTGGTCTTCCTTTAGATTCGTAACTTTATGTCAAGAAACTAATCCATGAAAAAGAAAAAATAAATAGAAAGAAAAAGAAAGGGCTAAAACAATAAAACCCATCTATTGTTTCCAAAAACCACAAATAATCCTCTCAATTAACAAAAAAAATCATTCCGAACTAATAAAAACTATTATATTGCCTTTTTTCACTATAGGACCGTTAACTTATTGCAAATTGACAAAAATGACCTTTAGAGTATAATATTAATTTAAAATTTAAAGATAATTTTTTTAAATGACAATTATGTCCTTCATGGAGTTCGCCACAAAAATCAAAATTTCCATTAATAGATTTTTTTGTCACACCTTTTCGTCCAAATATATATATATATATACATATATTTCTAACTTATATATGTAAATAAATATATATATGGGAAAGCTTATTCCCATATTTTTGGGACATATATACCCTTAAAATATAGTTCTCTATGGTTTATATAAGGGCTATTTGACTCATTTAAATGATAGTTTTTTATTTTTTTTAAATCTCTTGTATCTGCATCGTATAGCACCGCCACCATCCCCACCTTATTTCCACCACCACCTGCAAAATTGAAGGCACAACCGCCGCGATCAGTGGCGCCAACACCACCATAATTTTGTATTTTAGAGAATAAACCACCACCAACACATACCGCTACCACCGACCACCACTAGTTTAAGACGGCAAATTAACGAAATCGGGGTAAAACGATAATCTTCATGTTGGAAATCTCGCAGTTGTCGGTGTTTTGGCTAAGTGATGCTTCTGGCAACACCGTCAACTCTGCCTCACAAATCGTTCAGCCTCTTCTCTGCATAGGAAGCAGCCACCGATGCTGACAAATCTCAAATTAGAAGCAGATATATTAGCTGTTGCTGGTATTGTTATTCTCCATATTCTTCTTCCAATACCTCAGCTGCCTCGTTAATTTTGCCTTCGACTATAACTGAATCCGACGAAGTCAATCGGTTCTACTATAGGGGTTGTGTGTGACTCGTGGTTGATGACTGATTTTGGAGAAATAGGTAATTGGTGGTGGTGGCGGCGGTGCCGCCGCATTTGGTGTCTAAATTTCCATTCTACAATTGCGTCCACACCAACAAATCACGCATTGTTAATTATCAGCACCTGAATCCAAATCCTTTTTTTCTCTATCGATTTCTTTATTTTTGCTTTAAAATAATGATCAAACACTAGCATATTTTTGTTAATTATTGACCAAGCATTGTAGTTGTTTTGTGTTGTGTGTCGTGAGAGTAGAGGAAGAGGATGACGATGAAGAAGAACAAAGAAGGATTTGGTGGATGTTCAGTTGCAACATATCTGACTGAGGCATGCACAAACTAAAGTAGTGTTACAAGGGTAGTTTAGTCATTATGTAATTAAAAGGGCAGTATGGTCAGAATAATATGCACATGACTCTCACATGATTTTCTCCAGTTAGTTTTAGGCGGCTACTTAACCGAATGGGGGTGATGTGATGGTTTTTAGAAAAGATTAGGGGGGTAATGTGATAGTTTCTTTAGTTGAGGGGGTTAGTTGATAAATTTTATAAACAATAGGGGATTTTATGATTTTAACCTAAAAAGAAAACAAGAAGAGTAAATTATATTGACATTTCCTGAAGTTTGGTACAAATTATACATGGTTATTTTCACCTCCTCTAAAGACTACGTTTATTACTTGACGTCTCATCAAGATTGAAGCTGTTTGCCGGTCAAAAAGTGACTCTAAGTGTAAAAAGGTTGAAATGCCATTATATTATACTAATAATATATTATATTGTATTTTATATAAGAGAAGGGTAAAAATTATCATTTTAGAAAATTTTGAAAAGACTACGCTAAGGTACCATTGAGCATTAGTGTAAAATCTCAAGGGAAGTTATGGTAATAAATGCTGAATGGTTCACTATGAATAATTTGTCCAAATCTCAGATGATGTCAGTGTAATTTATTCAAAAAAATAAAAAAAAAAAAGGAAAAAAAGAAGAAGTGATAATCGGACTCAAACGAGTCGACTCAAAAGGCAAACAAGGTCTGACCCAATAGATTCTCTCGTGCAAAAAAAAATATTTGCAGCTGTCAGGCAACATATTTGACCCAAAAAGAAGATGAAGATAGGCAGATGCCAATAAAGATTTACAACCTGGATTGGTCAGGGTGGTGTCCGACCGGTTCATGCCGGCCGGGTCATTAGGCTTAGTCCTTCTAGTCCACCTCCTTACTTACCCTATAGCTTTATATAAGTAATATCTACACACACACACACACACACACACACACACACACACACATATTGGAAAGCATGGCTGTCAGATAAAAACACTTTAGAAGATAAAAAGGGCTAAAATATATTCTTCCTGGGCAGGCCTTATTTCTTGTTTAAATTTTTTGAAATGATGGTGGTCTCAATTGATGGGGGGCAATATGTCTCTTAAAGCAAAGGAATTGGTACATCACACACTGCCCACAATTGAGCTCACTTTGGGAGTGGGAACCTTAGTGGAAACACTTCATTAGGTTTCTTGTTAGGGGGATTAATTAGTGTCTTAATTACTAGACAAAAGGAAAAAAAACACACACAAAACATCTTTGATTTCATCACTTGATTAATACGTTTAGGAGAAGAATTCGACTCATATAACAAAGTCAAGATGATACTGATCAACTCTTCTTCTAGCGTCAACCATCGTATCATTTTGGAATGAACCGAATTTTATTTTCTAAATCTGAATCACCAAAAAGAAAGAAAGGCTATTTTTAATTTCAAGATGGATTCCTCATGTTGGCTGCTAGCTGCTTTTATGTTTTTACACTATGGTCCTATATTTTGATATAAAAGTGATGTGCAAATTCTTTTTCTTTTACTTTTTAGATTCATATATAGTGGACCATTTTTTTTAAAAAAAGAAAGGTGGTAGTATGTAAAGACATTATCAAGGGACCTCTTATGCATGTTAAATCTGCCGTGAATAGATTTTTGTTAATATGTGAGATCTTATCAAGTGACCTCTAGAAGCGCAATGACACATTTTGAATGTCCTCTTATTGTCAATCAATAATAATACAATTTGAATGTATGATACAAATATGTTAAAAGTGTTAAGTTTAATTTGTTACCACCTCATGAACCACCTCCTACTCCAATTATGAATTTAAATAAATAATAATGAAACATACATGAAAGAGTAAAAATTATATAAAAAAAAAGGAAGATGAACCAACTAAATTAGAACGGGGGAGTAATAAAATTTGGCTGGATATATAATCAAAATATATACTAAGTCAGTCGCGATTTTCACCACGCACAAGCATATATATATAGTCTAAAATATGTAAGTTGTGCTTGTACAGTTACGATTGTACTTAACATAAGTTTACATTGAACGAATTTGATTCGCAATATAAATATTAGTGGCAGTTGTACCGATATGTGCAATTGCGACTGTTGCGACCGTTTAACATAGTCTTAAAATATATCGATTGCGGTCGCACAATCGTAACTGTACTTAACATAACTCTATGTTTTAACAAATTTGATTTGTAATATAAATATTTATGGTAGTTGTACGGTGCAATTAATTAATATAAGTATTTTCTATTGAAAAAAAAGGAAAGTAGGGTGTGTACTAAATTACTAATATAATTATTTGTATATAATATGCTAGTTTAAAAAAGAAAAAAGAAGAAATGTAAAGGCTAGGTAGCTAGTAGTGTAAGGTGAGGTGGTGGGGTTTTAGGGTGTGAAGGTGGGTTGAGGCCGCATGGAGTGCCCACCTCCCCTCGTGCGCGCTATCTATCGATGGCGGCTCAGCACTCAGTCACTCACCACCTCCTCAATTAACATCCATCATTAATGGCATGCTGCCAAACATAATACTACACCCTCTTTCTATCTCTCTATATATTACAATATTACACATACACACACATACATATGTAATTATGTATATAAGTTTCTCTCTCTCTCTCTCTCTCTCCTCACTTGATGAGAAGTGCGATGGGGGTTGTCTTGTCAGCCAAGAGGTGGAAGAGTGAAGAATGTGGGAGACAAACAAAGACATTTGAAGGCTACTAACAGTTGATACAACGTCTTTTTAGGGCCCTTTGTGGGGTCACACCTCTCCAATACCATTTCTCTTTCCTCTCCCTTCCCTCTATATTTATACTCTTCCCTTCCCACTCCAAAACTCACCATTCCCATTTCTTTCACTTCCTTCTTCACTTCTCTATTTCTATTTCTATTTCGTGTGTGTCTGCTTCAATGGCAGATAGTAGTAGCTCAGCAAGAATGAGGTGTTCCGTTCCGGAACGTGTCCAACTCCACATCGCCATGTTAGCCTTGCAGTTTGGCTATGCTGGCTTCCATGTTGTGTCTAGAGCTGCCCTTAACATGGGCATAAGCAAAATTGTGTTTCCAGTTTATAGGAATGTTCTGGCTTTGATCCTCCTTTTACCCTTCGCCTATTTTCTCGAAAAGTATGTCACTAAAATTTTCAAACTAATCATCATATATATATAGTAATTTATAGTCTTTATTAAGTAGTATAACAAGTTGTTATAATTCTTCTTTGATCAGGAAGGAGAGGCCACCAATGACTCTTTCTTTTGTGGTCCAGTTCTTCCTCCTCGCAGTTGTTGGGTATGCTTAATGTTTTTTCTTTTCCCCTGTAAATTCATGCAAGTTGTATATATAATTGTTAATGTGTAAACTACAAGGGTTGGCTCAAGTGGCGGGTAAGAACTTACCTCTAATGCCTCCGGAAAAAATAAAATAAAATAAAGCATATAATATGTGACTCATCACCATATTGCTCTAAACACCCTTTATTCAAGAACTTAAATAAGTGTTAGAGATGGTGTAATTATTTAACAATATGTGTGTGTACATATATAAATATATAATATAAATTTTTTTTTTTTGAAAGGTTATATAATATAATATTATGAACAAAGAACTAATTGTTCTTCATTTTCTTATATATGTTACAGAATAACTGCAAACCAAGGATTCTACTTGTTGGGATTGGACCACACATCACCCACCTTTGCTTCTGCAATACAAAACTCTGTCCCGGCCATTACCTTTATTATGGCAGCAATACTCAGGCAAGCTCTCATCCATAGTGTGTGTATATGTGTGTGTGTGTGTGTGTGTGTGTGTATATATATATATGTATGTATTGAAGTTATAAAGTACCATTTGTAATGTTGTGTGTGTTGAGGACTGCAGGATAGAACAAGTACGACTGAATCGAAAAGACGGGATTGCTAAGGTGGCCGGAACGGTGTTCTGTGTGGCCGGAGCTTCGGTGATCACGCTGTACCAGGGTCCCACCATATACAGCCCAGCACCACCACTTCACACCACTTCACCAATGTTGGCTTCACTGGGAGACGCTGAGGGAAAGAACTGGACCTTAGGGTGCATCTTCTTGATCGGGCATTGCTTGTCATGGGCCGCCTGGCTCGTCTTGCAGCAACCCGTCGTCAAGAAGTACCCCGCTCGCCTCTCCGTCACCTCCTACCAGTGCTTCTTTGGAGTCATTCAGTTTCTGATCATAGCAGCCTTTCTTGAGAGAGACGCCGATGCTTGGCTTGTCCATTCCGGTGGTGAACTCTTCACTGTTTTATACGCGGTATGTCACTTAAACATAATATATGTTAGTATTTAATCAATGGGTGATACTCATGATACTCTTGGTCAAACAAATGGTTTGAGAATCTTTCTTGCAAGTTTAAATGAAAATGGCTTGTCAGTGTGACCATGTACTTTGATCACTAATAAAAAGTCTTCCATGTGAAATTAAAGGGTAAAGTTGGTCCCAAATGCTCAAGCCACAGGAACCAAGTAGAGACCAGATGTGGGGCTACAAAACTAATTATGGGCAATAAAATATCACAGAGTAGATGATACGTCAATTTATAATTCTATTTCTATCCTCTTGTTGTTAATATATGTTTGATATATATGTTAAGTTAGTTTATTGATAGATGATTCGGAAATGGATGATGCATGTATGTAGGGAGTGGTAGCATCAGGGATTGCATTCGCTGTACAGATATGGTGCATTGATAGGGGTGGCCCTGTCTTTGTGGCGGTGTATCAGCCTGTTCAGACTCTTGTTGTCGCTATTATGGCCTCAGTCGCATTAGGAGAACAGTTCTACTTGGGAGGGTACTCTCTCATTCTCTCTCTATATATCTATCTATATCTATATCTATATATATATATATATATATTACTGTATATATGTATTGCTTGCTAGCTCATCAATCATGCATTTCAAGACCCCACGCCACCAACAGCAGATTAGTTGTGGATGCTTGACTTTATTTATCCCATCTTTGACTGCTTAAAATGACTAAAATATCCCTCCATGAGAATCTTATGCAACAACTTGTTTATGGGGTGGTGCGATGTACAGGATCATAGGGGCGGTGTTGATTATAACAGGACTGTACCTCGTCTTATGGGGGAAAAGTGAAGAGAGAAAGTTTGCAGCTCAAAAGGCAGTGATTCAGTCCCCCGCGGACCACGGGAACAACAGGACCACAAGCCACATCAAGTCCTCGTCGTCCCTTGCTCAGCCTCTACTCCCACAGTCAACCGAAAATGTTTGACCACCACACCCTTAACTTCTCTAAGCTCTTCTTCTAACTACAGCTTCTTCTGCAGCCCACCCAAAAAAAAAAAAAAATCTACTATGCTGTATAAAAGAGGTTGGTGTGTGTTTGTTCTTTTTTATTATTTTTATTTTTATTTCTTTTAGGTTTTTTATTTTTATTTTTATTTTCCAACAGCTTTCTCTCACTAAGAGAGAGAGAGAGTGAGGGCTTAAGGGGCTGAATGTGATGATCATTCTCTTTTGATGTGGGGCCTTAGGGATGAATTATGGCCCATATGGTTTTATATGTTAATTTTATGGTTATGGTTTGATTTACGAGAAAAGATATGGAATGAATTATGAAGTTAATGCTTGTTGTGATCATTATGGTATGAGATTTGAATGGGCCCTACATTTTGCATATTGATAGATATCAATTACTACTATTTACTACTAATATGGATTATGGCAAAGCATGTTTGATTTTCATATGACATCATAACGTTTGTCATTTATAGTGACTCCTTTGAAGGTGAAATCATGTGAAATCATTTAAAATTACCACTCCATTTTGATGTTGTCTATCATGATGGTGTTGTGTTGTTCCCTTTAAGAAAAACAATATATTAACCACATTATTAATTAATAAGCAAAGTTGTTGGGATATTAATTCTCTGTAACGAGCTCTTCATTAGATGTTATTGAAAATTAAATAGTTCTTTCATTACATATATATATATATATACACACATATGGAAAAAAAAATCATATATATATATACACACACACACAACAAAATATTTTAAATAATTCACTGACCGGTCACAAATACGAGAGAACAATATTTATATAAAGGGCGATATCTATGAACACAAATGCAAGGGTTAAATCCTGACTTTTTTGTAATACAATAATATCGATAAAGGGCGATATCTATGAACACAAATACAAGGGTTAAACCCTGACTTTTTTGTAATACAATAATATCTATATAAAGGGTGATATCTACGAACAAAAATATGAGGGAAACAAAGAAGGGGCTAGGTAAAGGAGGAGAAACTGACGGCCAATGAAGGCATATGTGGAGGTAGAAATGTGTACTACTATTAAGCACATATCTCGAGACTCATAGTTATAGCCTCTTTAGATGCCTAGCTCGGGCAATACCCATTGGTTCATATCATGTGTTATTCTTATTCACGTAGCTAGGTATGATATGCTAGGGCTTTAAGAGGTTAGTTCCTCTCATCGAGCTGTGGAACCTGTTAGGGTATCATCTCCTTTGTATTAAATGTGTTTTGTCATTTTATAACCGACAATAACCAAGTTGATAATAACTGTGTCACGACATTAAATGTGATGTTAAGTCTCTCTATTACGGTGTACATCCACTTTCCCATTAACCAGGCTCGTTAGTAGAGCAAACTCTAGTTTCTCATCTACCATGCCAAGGTCTTTCTAAATTTCCAAGGATGAAAAAGGCAAACCATCGAGAAGGTCCAACCTTTATCTTGATGATTTACTTATTGAGTTTTGTTATGAAGCGCTCTGCGAATCAATGAGACCTGTCATAGCGCCAGGGTTTGGTGACTCGATGGCGAAGCCTTTCGAGGTTTTAAGTGAACTGACATGGCGCCAGGGTTTGGTAACTCGATGGCGAAGCAATTTGTGGTTTTTGTATGACCTGGCCTATCGCTATGGTTTAACTTGATATCGTGCCAAGTGGGTCCTTCGAGATTGCCACGTGGGTAGGCTGAAGATCACACCTACACTCTAGTATTATGTCTATGAAAAAAGAGCCATAAATGTCAAAAACCCACACACTCTTTCACTCATTCACTCACACTTTCTTCTCAGACATCTACATGAATTACATATATTTTTCTCTTTTCTCACAATACTCACCCTTTCAGTCCTACATCTTTCCTCTCTCTCTATCCAAACCCATATCTATTTATTGAGTCTTCAAACCTTTCCACAACTTGCTTTCAATGAATTATCATATCAATCACAACTCTAACATAACATTATACTAAGTCCTAACTTCATTGCCAACTCTTTAGTCTTACTCCTGAAGTCTTTAGGCTTTTGATACAGAATAGGAATCTGTGTTTTGCACATATCAAGCATGTTGGACCAGTCCATAATATTTGGATTGGTTCAATTCCACCAGAATTTCAATCTTTAATTCATAGGTAGGCTGGACCGGTCCATAGAAATTAGACCCGTCCATCTTTCCCATAACAATACATACACTAATTCCGAGCCACAAACCCAATAACTAAAAAGGTGTTTGATTTAGGACAATGAGGAACATTAAGGATGGCAATTTGACCCGCTCCCGGGTTTACCTGCCCCACCCTGCCTTTTTTTGGCGGTTTTGGAGGACCGTTTAGCTTATTTGGGTGGAGATGGTTTGATGCAATAAAAACCCGCGCAGGTTTGGTGTGGGAGCGGGGGGAGGTTGCCCCGCCCCATTTAGATAGACAAATTACTTAAGTATTCTTATTTCATTAGTATATATATTTCCCATTAGAAAACTTAGTATTTTGTTTTGTTTTTTTTTTTTTAAGGGTAAGTTAAAAACCCTATGAACATTATTATTTTACCTATATAACAATATTAAAGTAACAAATGAATTTGATTAGAAGAAAAGTTGCAATAGTGAAGAACTGAAGATGAGGAGGAAAAAAAGAGCAAATATATTTCAATAATAAATAAATTATGGTCTTAAACGAGGCGGGATGGATACTCCCGGAATAAAAATGTTAAACGCAGGCGGGGATGGGGTGGAAAGTCCACCGTTTTTGCGATTTTGGGTAGAGACAGGAACGGGGTTTTGGAACAGTTACGGAGACGGAGGAAGGTACACCCGCCCAAACCCACCCCCGTTGCCATCCCTAAGGAATATCATTGAAATGTACTACTAGGTTAATTGTATAGAAAATAAATCAGATTATAATGTCTTTCTCCAATAAGACAATTTAAGTCTCCTACAAATACATACATCTATGGTCAAAGCAACCTCATAAATTATAATTTTGTTCATAATCTCATGGAAACATGAAATAGAAAGGAGAAAATTGAGAAAAAAATAAAATGACCGGAGAAAAACTTTTTAACGTTAATCTCGATCTCATTAATTTCTTGCTTGAATATTCTGAAAAAAAAAAAAAAAAAAAAAACTCCATGTACTTAAAACTTTATGCAAGTGGAGTAAAAAAGATTGCATGCAAGCACTATTAGCTTAGTATGTTTCTTTTTATCATTTTTATATAGACAGTACTGGAATAGTATTTATTATATACACATATTTTACTCTAGGTGACCGATTCCTTGATATTCAAAATTTAGGTAAGATTTAGGTAGATTACAGATCCCAAGAAGGCATAATTAAGCAGCATCAATCATCCAGAACGCATAATTACCATATTAGTACCTTTTTCTAAAGCACTTCTTTTTTAGTACGTAACATGCCTTTTCTTTTTATGATGTGAATTGAGCATTCATTTTCTTTTCAAATTTTCCATTTTTTTTACACCATATACTATATGAAATTAATTTTGTGTATATCCTCACTTTGCCCTAAAATGGAACTTGAACCATCAACTAATTTGAGAGGTGGAGGATAGAATAATGTAATTATTTATGCATATGTAAGTAAATGTATATGTGTGTGTTTATATCTATGAATTCGATGCATATTTGTGCATGTATCAATTATGTGTGTGTTACATGTCACATGTGTACACATAGAACCTTCTTAGGGCTGGTCCAATAGCCACTGGCCAAATTGGGCCCTTCACAGACATGCTCAAGCCGAACACAATGGGTTCGGATGGGCCAATCTATGCCCGGACGGCTTGGTCTGGGTTGGTCCAGGCTGGGCTCCGGCCCACAGACTTTATTGTAGTGGCATAGTTCCAATTTCAGATATATATATATATATATATATATATATATATATATATATATATATATTTTGGGTAATTGCTAGGTGTGTGGGAGGAGAAGATGCCAAAAAAAAACAAAAAACTAGATAGCATAAATTATTTTCATTTCATAAAAAATAATGTTATACATTGGTGCATTAGACAACGTGAAACATAGCATTAAAGAAAATTACATCAATAAAAAGCCATCGTACCATCAAAACTGTAACTTAATAATATCTATTCAAGTAAAAAGATAAACACGATGAATGAGAAGTATTCCCTCAAGTAAAAAGATAAAAACAAATAGTGTGTGATATAGGATAAGAAAGTCAAAAAAAAAAAAAAAATAGATAGCATAAATAGATTGATGGACTAAATATAATTTGAACACCCTCTTACAATTTTATTTTATTTTATATTTATTTTTTTCACTCCTAAAACCTCATTCACAAGACCGTGCTCTGAAATTGACCTTTATCATGATCCTTGGTTCTACCTTGACCATCCAACTCAACCATGGCTTCATTTCTTACAGTGTAATTACTAAAACCATCTCTCCCCTTATATCTCACAGCAACCCACAAGTATATTAAGAAGTTGACTCCATTAATCCCTGTCAATATCCAGTAGAAGTTATCCAACTTGCTCTTGTTAAGATTATTCCTCAGCCACCCTTTCTCTTCCCCGCCCGTCGTCGCTTGGATGATCTTCACAATTGCAGTGCTCAACCAGCTCCCAATCCCTATCTCACTCAGAAACATTGCATTGCTAAGGCTTCGAGTCCCATCCGTCGCTTCATCGTAAAAAAACTCCAACTGTCCAACATAAGTGAACACTTCAGCACTTCCCACGAGGAAGTACTGAGGAAACAACCAGAAGACACTCATGGTAAATGGCTTAGGATAATGGTCGCGGCGTCTCTTCTCCACCACTGCTGCCGAAGCTAGGGCAAATATGGACACGAACAGGCCCACGCCCATGCGTTGCAGTGATGTGATGCCACGGCGGTGACCTGTCCATCGTTGGAGGACGGGAACCATTATTATTTCGTAGATGGGGACGAGGATGAGGGCGTTGATGGCGGAGAAGACTGGGACTGAGCCTGTGGGGATGACGAAGTCCGGGCTGAGCTTTCGGTCCATGATGGTGGCTTGGCTGATGAAGAAGGTTGAGAGTTGAGAGAAGGAAATGGAGAGTGCTATTGTTGATGCCCATACTGGGAGGACTCTAATGAAGGACTTGAATTCTTCAACTTGTGTCACTGTGCATAGCTTCCAACGGTTGTTTGTGTTGGCTTGCTCAGGATCTGCAATGACAGCTGCTTTGTCCAAGAATCTACACACCATCAAAGCAACAAAAAATTGAACAGTGATTTTTGTTAGACATTGAGGTTATTTTAGTAATTTTATATAGAGGGTATTTTGGTCATCAAATGGGTATTTGTTGGGGGCATTTTGCTAAATTTTTGGATAAGGGGTAATTGGATGAAAATGTGCAGATGGGCACTTTGGACTAAGAAAAAGTTTGAATAGTGATATTTGTAATTAATTTGGAAAACTTGTTGGTTATTCAAATAATTTTAAAAAGTCAACGAATTGGTAAATACCAATAATTGTCCAATGATGTTTAAAAAAATTTCAATAAATAAATGGTGGGATTGATATTCTAAGCCATTTAATTAAAAATATATGCAGTAGTGTTATCGAGTGGCATAATGCTTCAATAGGCATTATGTGACTATTAAAAAAAGGGTATATATTATTATGTGCAAAATGTTATAGAGTATGCTAATTACCTACCTGTATTGCGTAGTGTGAGAAAGCTTTCGGGCGCCAAAAATATCAGATTCTTTAGTGTTGACCTCATAAAGGTCAAAATGACTTCCAACTTCAACCCCTCTACTATGGTTTTTCAGAGAGGCAACAAGGACTTGAAGAAACCTAGTAAAAGCACTTCCCATTGGCTTTTGGTAACGATAATATGGAATGCCCACAGCTAAGATGATGATGGACCCCAACATCACCGCCGTCGGAACTGCAAACCCCCATGTCCACCCTTTCTTTTGTTCCACATACACCAGGAGGGTGATACCTAAGAGAGCACCCATGTTGATGGCAAAGAAGAACCAGTTGAAGAATGTGTACTTCTTTTGAACTTCTTTTTCGTCGGCTTCGTCGAATTGGTCAGCCCCGAAGGATGACACACATGGCTTGATTCCGCCGGTTCCAAGTGCTATGAGGCCTAGTGCGCAGTAGAGGAAGGTGGTTTGGTGGTTGGTGGCCGGTATGCATGGCTTTGCAGTGCACAGAGGTGGGCGTAAGCTGTCTATGGAGGCTGAGAGTGTCAGCAGAACCATTCCCTGAGATAGTGAAACGAAACAACTTCGCAGCATGAGAGGCAAAGCAATTGGACTGAAATTTGTTTTATATTAATTTTTGAAATATATGTTAGCATGACTACAAGGTTTGTTGGTTGTTACTCACCGCGGCATATATGCCAGAGAAGATGATGATGGTCAAGAAGCGGCCCAAATAAGCATCAGCAAGGAATGCTCCAACAATGGTTAGAACATAGGCGGCTCCAATCCAATCCGACACATGAGTTGCAGCATTAGGTATTGACTGATGCATCTCCAAGACTAGGTAAGACACCATGTTCACCGCTATCGCAAAAAATGCTAACCTCTCAGCCACCTCATTCACTACACACAAATTAAAACAATATTAGTTTAATATCAATGCAATATAAGTAATTAAGAAAGTAGACATATTGAATCAAAAGGAGCTTGTAAAGTTAAATATGTGAGAGTGTGGAATTCTCAATCCTCTCAGTTTTGTCCACTCCAGTCCACAAGAAAGGACAAAAATCACCCTATAGGAGGTGTGGACCCTACTCTTATATTCGGAGTGATTTTTAGCCTCCCCATATGATACACAGTCTGTGTGTGTGAAGAAAGTCAATATGACAGTTCTCACTAAGCTCACATCCTCATAGTCGCTGGATGAAGGGGTTTTGACGTCAATCTCTCCATCCACAAGTACAAGGATGCAAATCTCAGATATCATGAATAGCTATATATACTAGACTTAGCTCCATATATAATTGCTTGAGAATTGAGACCTATGATGAATGGTGAGGCCTTCCATCCTCCAGTTCTTCCTTTGTCAGCAGTTCTCCCCCGAAAATCAACACAACCATTGGTTACTAGTGAAGTCAAAACGCTGGACTCCTACAAAATCATCAAAGCATGCATGTTAGTAATTGAGTGAATATATATGGTGAGTATGTACATCATAACTCAATCAGTATTACCTTCTCTTTATGCGTCTTCTCGTCCACAATTCCGTCCACGGAGGGCTCAACACGGGACTTCTCAGGTAGCTCAATGGACTGCTCTATTCTATCCATGAGAGGACCACTTGAGGGGGACTGTAATTCATTCATGGATGAGGAATATTATAACTCTTTCTACTTCTCGAAGTATAATGACAGATCGAGAAACTCACCAAGAACAAATTGGCCGAGAAATTGTGTTATATATGGTAATCCTTATGTTATCGGAGCTAGTAGTAAGTAAAGGCTTATGTCTCTATAGGAGCTCTTTGATTCCTCCTTCTAGTAAAGGTATCTTCAAGTGGGGTTGTCATATAAATAAGAACAGGTTCCTATAGAGCGTTTATTTTAAGCATCTGATATAATGTGACATTTGACACGTTTTTGAAGGTTTCTAAGTATGTGTTTGGTGATATTGTTGAGTGTTTGTTGAAGGGCGGCAAGATTAATTAGTAAGTTCCATATATATCATCCTCATGTCATGGATACATTTCAAGAGATCGACAATAAAATTTTGTTGCCCAATAAGGCAAAGCTGTGTAGATGTAACCGATGATGGAATTTTTTTAGAGGCAAGATAGGGACTAGCTAGCTAAGGAGAAGTAACAATCATTCAAATTGCCGCCCCAACACTCTTTTAAGTTGTTGTAATTATGAATTAAGTTTGAGTTCATTGAAAAAGAATTAATAATATATTGTCTGAAAAATGAAACTTGAGAAGGTCTTGCAAGAATTGATTGACATATTGTATGTGGACAATGTAGTTTTGTACCATGCAATGCAGTAAAGTATGTCGTTATGGAAAAGTTATACAGTACAGTATGTAAAGCTTATATATGTTTAACTTACTCTAGGACAAAGTCAAATGGTATACTTTTTATTGTAAAAAGTAAGATTATTCCTAGGTAGGATGTGCTCTTATCCTTCATGGACTTCTAACCTTTTGCTCATTTGTGTTTAACTTAGTTAAGGACAAAGTCAAATGGTATACTTTTGATTGTAGTGAAAAGTAAGATTCTACCCAAGTAGGCTGTGCTTTTATCCTTTTTGGACTTTTAACCCTTTTGCTCGCCTTCCTCCTCAAGGCATTGTGACGACTTTTAACTTATTGGACGGACTATTACACGGATAAGTTATGGGTGTCATGATTTCATGTAATTTAGAAAGGTGAAGGTAAAGTATTATATATAGGTTCAATATCCTTCTATAACATAACGCGTTTTAAAATTGTGATGGACAATTAAGCCTAATTATGGAGAAATAGTATCAAGATGTGGACCACTTAGGATGTCTGGTCCAGGGGAGTCAAAAGTGAACAATATTGTGTTTGGTAGGGTGAGGGTTGTTGCAAATGGTATTAGAGCCGGAACCCAAACGGAAGTGTGGCCAATGAGGATGTTGGGCCCCATGGGGGGTGATTGTGATTGTGACACCCCTTGAATCCGAGACACGGGTTGATCAGGCCTAAGCCCGAAACCGAGGAAATATCAAACAATTAATATTTTAACGAACACGGAATACAAATTGAATTAAAGAAATAAAAATAATAAGCTGAAAGAAACTAGAATAAAATCCTCAAAACATACTTATTTAAATCCGTTAATCCAAATCTCCATAAGTTTACAATTCGGAAATCCATCCAGTGGACCCCTTATTAAAACCCAATAGAAACTAAAATATCTGAAATAGAATCTAAAGCTAAACATAGAAAAGATTCCTACGTAGTCGGAGGAATGAATATCTATATCTGCTCTGCACGTCCAAGCTCTAACCCTGGAACTGACGGACATCTGAAAAATAAAGAGTGGGTCAGGCCCACATGCAAGTCCTATTATACTACGATCCAAGCAGTAATTCGATACGCAGATACATTCTAGATAGCTCAACAATATCTATCTAGTTCATACATATATATATCCACACTAAGGGACATTCACTGGACTACAGTAGGGGTCTTAACCTGAATAGAAGGCAACATGCGAAAACACATCCAAAGGTGGGCATGAGTACTTAGACCTAACAGGGTATACCTCAACCTATTTTAACCAGCTACGCATCCACTGCATATACGTACCCTAACCAAAGAGTCTGAGACTTAAGCTCATCTCGTGGTACCATAAACATATATATAAAGTCCATCCAAAACCAGGGTATGTCATTCAAATACTTATTGAGATGACATACAATATACAAACTAGTTAGTCACTCAACTTATTTAGTTGATATGACTTAACTACCATCCATTACTTCAGGAAGCCACTTAACTTAGTCGCAGTTGATCTGACTCAATCACAATTTGGATTCAATATTTTTCAATCCATCATTTAATCCATTAGGGTAGGTTTAAGCTTTTTGAGCTAAACCGTCCCTAGTATATCACCGTCCCATACCGGTGCATACAATCCTCCATATCCATGTAAATTACAAAACATAATAATAAGCTAGTAATTTACAATCCAAACCATTATCCATATCATTGCAGAAAAGTATTTAAAATTTCAGCAATATAAATCCCAGCATTAATTCATGTAATTGCACTAGAGAATTTGATATTCCAACAATTAACATCCAGAACATGCATAGTTTAAACCTTAAACATAAAATGATCTATCATGCATCCAATATAAGATTTATAATCTTATTATAATCCATTATGTTACCCAAAATTTAACTAAGCAATTTTATTCTTTCCATCCATTATCAGTATGCTAAGTTGTATACTTTTATACTGATTCATCCTTTAAATAATTTATAAAAAATATTTACATATCCGTATTGTCAAATTTCCTAAGCCTAAGAAGTGTATTATGCATTTTAGAACCATCCAAAGTTCATTAAACCTATTTAGATTACTTAAAATAAGTTCCAAAACAATTATGGGCAATTAAAACTAAGTTCCAAGTCGCGGCCCAACTTAGTCGGCTCAATTGCCAACTGAGCAGGCTAAGTTGCTAACTTAGTCGTCTCAGTTTCCAATTGAGTCGGCTAAGTTGCCAACTTAGTCGGCTCAGTCTCCAACTGAGTCGGCTAAGTTGGTGCTAATGCCGTCTTCTTCGTCCGTTCAGCCTCTGTAAACCCTAAAACTTCATTACTAAGGCCTCTAAGCTTCAACCTATGTCCCATACGTCCATACTAAATTATTTTAAGTGTTTTAACATGCAAAGATTCAATTTAAATAACAGTTCATGTATAAAGATCACAAAACTAAAGAAAACACGAACAGGTATATATAACTCTGCAACCCTCTGTTTTATTTTGATTAAGCATGCATAATTAATTTGTTTTAGCATTAATTAAACTCATGGAGTCTAGCTAGGCATGCACAGAACACGAATTAAAGGGAAAGAGCAAGAACAGAAATTTGCCTTCGAGACTTTGGTTTTAAATCTCTAACTGTCGTCTCTGAATTTTCAACTTTGTTCCACGCCTCTGTTACTCTTGGCTAACCCAGAAGCAACCCCGTTCCTTCCTCCTTGAACTTCTCTGTAAGCTCTCAAGTTTTCACTATCCGTTTTCTCAAAATCTCACAACTCTCTGTATCTCTCTGCTACGTAAAAAGGATTAACAAAACCCTTGGCAGACATATAATTATGTATTTATAGGTTTTATTTGAAACCCTAAATTAAATCCTAAACCAACCACAAGTCGGCTCAACGTGAAACCTATAAGAAAACTAAACCCTAATACTAATATACATGGAAACCAAAACACGGACCACAGTTAAATTAAAAACTATATATTTAAATAGCCACATAAGCACATAATTAAACCAGTACTAACTATACAAATGTCAGTTAAATAAAATAAAAAAAAATTAAAAAAAAATAAAAAATCACATAACTCCATTAAATTAACAAATAAACAATTAAACAAATATAAATGCAATTTAAACAATTTATTAAATACAAATAAACAATTAAATAAATATAAATGCAATTTAAACAATTTATAAAATACCAGGACTATCCTTTTGAAATTAGGGGTATTACAGTGATGACCTCTGTGGGCGGGTGCGAGACAGTGGGCAAACTACTACACTGGCAAACTACGAGTGTTATGATTCCACATCATGCTATATGTATGTTCAATATCCTTCTATGACACAACGCATTTTAAAGCCGTGATAGCCATGAACCCATCAAAATTTCACAGTTAAGCGTACTTATGTAAGAGTTATATGAGGAGTGCCTGGGGAAGGTGAAAGTGACACGATATATGTAGGTTCTATATCCTTTTATGACACAACACATTTTAAAGTCGTGATAACCGTAAACTCGTCAGAATTATGCAGTTAAGCGTAGGGGTGCAACTTGAGTTGGGTAATCTGAACCCAACCCGAGCCCAACTTAATTTTTCATGGGCTTAGACAATCATTTTTACAATTAGGGTTGGCCTTGGGTTGAAAAATTTCAACTCGAATTTAATTAGGATTGAGCTTGGGTTAAAGTGCTAGCAACCCGAGCCAACCTGAACCCGAATTGTAATATTATTTTCATATATATTTTTACTTTTAAATACATTATATATAATATTTAAACTATGATTATATATATATATATATTTCAATTTCTTTTGTTAAATCTTAACTTATTGTATGTTAACATTTAGGAGAATAAATTTTCTAAAAATTTGTTTTCAATTTATGAAAAAAGTCTTTAAACTTTTTCTTGTTTAAGAGTAATTTAATCTAAAACTAATTCAAGATTATATTAAATTTTTTATGTAAGAATTAACAATATGAGTAATCCGAATTAACCCGATGTTTTTACCCAGAATCTAAGCCCCAGTTGCAAGCCCGAATTTAAAAGTAGAAGGATGGGTTGGGCTTTGGTTGAATAATTGAGATTGATGATAGGGTTAGGGTCGAACTTGGGTTTAGCATTTCATATGGTGGGTTGGGCTATAGTTATACCTCAAACCCGCCTGAGTTGCAGCCCTAGTTAAGCGTGCTTATGCATGAGTAGTATTTGGATCGTCTAGGGAATGTGAAGGTGACCTACTATATATAGATTTAATACTCTTATATAACACAACACTTTTTAAAGCCGTGGTAGTTGTGAACCCATCGAGATTTCGCAATTAAACCTACTTATGCAGGAGTAGTACTAGGATGGATGACCTCTTGGGAAGTCTGGTCGATCGGATAGAGCAAAAAATGGATAATGTTGTGTCAGGTAGGGTGAGGGCTGTTATAGATGGGGC